CCCCCTTGAAGTCCCACTCTTCAAACACCCCCTGGGGGTGCCAGGGACATGTGTGTGGTCTTTTCATGGGCAGGCAGGTGCCAAGGCCGCCATGGGGAGGGCCTCCCCTCGCTCCTGCCACCCCCCACTGGGTGGGCAGGGGACGTTTGACTTCTGGCTGGGCCCTTCCTCTCCTTGGGCCCCGGTTTCCTGAGGCGCCCCTGCATTCCTGAGGTGCCCTATGGCTCTGATTGCTGCGCCCCTGCCATGCGGCAGCCCGGTGTCCTTGTCAGGTTTGAAATGCAGAATCTGCAGCAGCCCCCTTGCCCCCCAATCCTGAGCCCTCCCTGAACTCTGGGAGCCGTGGACTGAATTCACTTCCTGTCTTCCTTCCTGAAACGCAAGCTCTCAGGCCCCTCCCCTCCTGCGGTGCCATATCCCCATGGCTAGCCTGGCACTGGCGCGGCGGGTGCTTGTTCTATATCTGATGGTTGGATCCGTGCCTGCACAGGTCCTGCGGCATCCGGAGCCCGCCTGATGTCTTTTCCCTTCTGTTCCTCGGTGCCCACCCGTGTTCCCCAGGCCCCACCCACGCTGCAAGGCCTGTCTCAGCCCCTGCTCCCCCCACTCCCATGGACACCTCCCTGGCCTCCCTTCTGAGCTGCTTCTGCCCTGGCCCTGGCCACACAGCGTCACTAACGCCCACCCTGCCTGCTACCAAGCCCAGGCTGACCCAGCACAGGCCAAGACCCACAACACCTGGGTCAAGTTGGGATTGCTCAGGAAGTCATTGTGAGGGCCCGGGTGGCACTGGGTGTGTGTGTGTGTGTGTGTGAATGTGTATGTGGGTGTGTGTGTATGTGTATATGTGTGTATGTGTGTGGGGGTGTGTATGTGTGGGTGTGTGTGAATGTATGTGTGTATGCATGTGTGTATGTGGGTGTGAATGTGTATGTGTGTGTTATGTGTGTGTATATGTGCATATGTGTGTGGGTATGTGTGGGTGTGTGTATGTGTGTGGGTGTGTATGTGTGTGTGAGTGTGCATATGTGTATGTGTGTGTATGCATGTGTATGTGTGTATGTGGGTGTGAATGTGTATGTGTGTGTTATGTGTGTATATGTGCGTATGTGTGTGGGTATGTGTGGGTGTGTGTATGTGTGTGTATGCATGTGTGTATGTGTGTGTGAGTGTGCATATGTGTGTATGCATGTGTATGTGTGTATGTGTGTGTACGCATGTGCATGTGTGTATGTGTGTATGTGGGTGTGTGTATGTGGGTGTGTATGCATGGGTGGGTGTATATGTATGTGTATGCATGTATGTATGGGTGTGTATGTGTGTATATGCGGGTGTGGGTGTATGTATGTGTGTATGTGTGTGTATATGTGGGTATGTGTGGGTGTGTATATGTATGTGGGTATGTGCGTATGTATGTGGGTATATGTATGCATGTGTGTGTGTGGGTGTGTATGGGTGTGTGTATGTATGTGGGTGTGTGTATGTGTGTGTATGCATGCATGTATGTGTATGTATGTGTGTGTATGTGTGCATGTGGGTGTGTATATATGTGTGTGTATGTGTGCATGTGGGTGTGTGTATGTGTGGGTGTGTATGTTTGAGTGTGCATGTGTGTGTGTGTGTGGGGAGCAACTGGGAGCAACTCAGACTAGACTAAGTTACTGGAATTAAGACTTATTCTATGCATCTGCTCTCCCACAATATGGCGCTGGGAGAGGAGGAAACAGCTTCTACACAGCTGCCTCCAGTTCAACCAATAAACAGCAGGACCTGCTCCTGATTGGAGGAGAGCAGCGTACTCGGCGTGTGGGTAGCAGAGTTGGGATTGGTGAAGAGGACTATAAAGGAGGAGAGAGACAACATGCACCAGGAACATCTAAGGGGAACATCTATCTGAAGGAACACCTGTGCAGCCCCCGAGAGAGCCGGCCGGCGGTGTGCCACTCCCCCGCGGAAGTGGGAAATGTGGCAGGGGGAACCGCCCTTCCACGGAGGTGGAAGGGTCGGTAGCCAACCCGGGAAGAACCAGCAGCAAACCCGGGGACGGCCGAGCAGACGAAAGAACAGCGCAGGGTCCTGTGTCGTTCCTCCATGAAGAGGGGGAGCGACATAATGGTGCCGTGACTCGGATAAGAAACCTAGGCAGGGTCCTGTGTCGTTCCTCCGCAAAGAGGGGGAGTGACAGTGTGTATGTGTGTGCATGTGGGTGTGTATGTTTGAGTGTGCATGTGGGTGTGTGTATGTGTGGGTGTGTATATGTGTGGATAGGTGTGCATGTGGGTGTGTGTATGTGTGGGTGTGTATGTGTGGGTGTGTATGTTTGAGTGTGCATGTGGGTGTGTGTATGTGTGCATGCATGCATGTGTGTATGTGGGGGGCACAGCTCTCTGAGCACGGCTGGTTTCGTTGTCTGTTAAGTGGGTTATGGGATAAAATGAGACTCCGCCTGGCAAGTGTTAGCTCCCCGCCCGGCTCGCTGGTACGTGAGGGCAGGCCCTGGGTCTCCTCCCCGGTGACGGCACAGTGCTGGGACGCGGTAAGTGCTCAGTGTTTGCTCCGGCCCGCTGTGGCCGCTTCCTCCCAAAGTGCTGGCCTCCGTCCCTGCCTGGCCCCAGGACTGGCCTCCGTCCCTGCCTGGCCCCAGGACTCCCGGGTGCTCATCTCACGCAGGGCGGAGTCTCCACCTCTGCACGCGCCGCCCAGGGGCCGCGGTGGGCGGGAGGGCTCTGCACACCTGAAGAGGCTGACGAAGCCGTAGGTTTCCAGCAGCATGCCCAGGAGGGGCCAGCGCAGGAGCACGAGGGCCACACCCCCCAGGAAGAAGCTGCTGCCTTTGAGCTTGTGCCGCTGGAAGAAGAAGGCGGCCGTCTTCCTCAGGCCAATGATGAAGGAGAGGCCGGTCAGGAACAGCAGCTGCGGGAGGGAGCGGGGAGGGGAGAGGGGCTCAGGCAAGGGCACGCGGGCTCGTCTTCTAGGTGGGCGACATCAGCGGGGATGAGCCAGCCTTGTGACAGAAGCCTGGAGCCGCTTAGTGAGATGCAGGGATGCCCAGAGGCAGGGGGATGGACACGGAGAACTCTGACTGTCCCTGGCATCCAACCCGGCTCCTGGGGAAGATGGGTGGAGAGGGAGATGATGTCCACTTGGCAAAGCTGAGGAAGACGGAGGCCTAAGCAGGGAGGTAGCCCCACCCCCGCCCGAGGACACGGGCAGCCGCAGCACTGCCCATGGCCTTAACGCCAGGCCTTCCCAACCCTCCTCTTCACCCCCTGCCGGCACTTTGCCCACCTTCACACCCGTTTCCTTTCCAAACAGCTTCTCGACCCTTTCCAGTTGGGTGTGCTTTGTGTTAAGCGTGCTTGCGTGATTGGCCCCTGCCTTGGATGCACACGCTACACGCTTCGGGACTGGGACAGTGTCCGGCTCAGCCTGGAGCCCCCAGGGCCTCGCCCCCATGCCAGAGAACCTGGGTCTCCATGTTCCCCAGCAGGCCCTGCTGTCTGTCCCCAGCCGCCCTCCTTCTCCTGGCTTCTCCACGCCTGCCCCAGGGCTTGGGCGTGATCTGCATGAGCTGGGGGTGGGTCCTCCTGGCAGGAGAGCCCCCAGGGAGGCTGGGGTGGGGGCACTCACATTTCCGAAGGCCAGGAGCACGGAGTCGAAGTACAGCAGGATGCCGAAGAGGATGAAGAAGATGCCGAAACCACTGATGCCCACACCGATCTCTGCAATGGGCAAGGAAGGGGGCGGGGGTGCGTTTCGGGGACCGGTTGGGACCCTGGACTTTCTCCGTCACCATAGGACAGGCGTCCTCTAGGGAACAGCACCTTCTTGTCCAGGGGTGGGGGGGTGGGCAGGAAAGGAAGGCCAGGCACCCAGGCACCGTGCTGGCCTCACTCCAGCCCCCAAGGAAGCTGCTGCCACCTCCTCACTTGGCACTCTTGGCTTCCTCTTGTCTTCAGATGCTACGTCGCCCAGATCAGGGCCCGGATCGCATCCCTGGCTCCCTCTGTTCCTGCCCTGGTGCAGCTGAGACCTGCTGCAGCCCCACCCACAGTGGACCGAAGTGCCCACTGCAAACACAGCCCCCATGAGCCTCAGCACCGCCCACTGTCCTGCTGGACTTCCCATGAGGGTGGCCCTTCTGAACATCTCGCCACACCGTGTCCCATCTCCCCACAACGGCCTCTGTCCCTGGCCCTCCTACACGAGTGAGAGAACAGAAGCCAGCGCTCAGGAGGGCGCTCATAGTCCCACCTGGGCCCCTGCACCTGCGCGGGAGACCCGGAAGAAGCTCCTGGCTCCCAGCTTCAGATTGGCCCAGCTCCGGCCGTTGCAGCCATTTGGTGAGTGAACTAGCGGATGGAAGATCTCTCTGCCTCTCAAGTAAATAAATAAACATTAAAAACACTATATACCTAGAGATGAGATTTATTACTCAAACTACAGACTGGACCTCGCTCAATTTAGTTCAATACATAAGACACTTGGCTTTTTTAGGACTGGTGCAGAATCACCTCTATCAACTCTCACCCGGCCACGGGAACCCATTTCCCCAAAGGCTGAGTCCTCCTGTTCCTTTCTTTCTTTTAAAAATATTTAGTGACTTTAATTGATATTTTAAAAGTTCATTTATTTATTTCAAAGTAAGAGATGGAGAGAGAGAGAATCTTCCATCAGCTGGTTCACTCCCCAAATGGCCACAGCAGCCAAGGCTGAGCCAGGCGCTCCATCCGGGTCTCCCACGTTGGTGGCAGGGGCTCCAGGACTGCAGCCGTCCTCTGCTGCCTTCCAGGGTGCGTGTGGTTGGGAGGCTGGATCAGAAGAGGAGGCGGGACTCAGAGCCGGGCACTTCTGCGTGGGATGCGGTATCCCAAGCAGACTTGACCTGCAGCACCACGGACTCCCACCCGACTCCACCCCTTTCCCACCTGGACTTGTTTCTGGCTTCCAGAGCCCAGCACCGCTGGGCAGAACACGACCGCAGTGGGGCATTTTGGAAAGCTGTGTTCTTTCCCCTATTGCAGATTTCTGTCCTCAGGGACACCAAGTTGAAATTCAAGGGGTCGGCCAGCGCCGCGGCTCACTTGGCTAATCCTCTGCCTGTGGCACCAGTACCCTGGTTCTAGTCCTGGTTGGGGTGCCGGATTCTGTCCCGGTTGCTCCTCTTCCAGTCCAGCTCTCTGCTGTGGCCCGGGAGTGCAGTGGAGGATGGCCCAGGTCCTTGGGCCCTGCACCTGCATGGGAGACCAGGAGGAAGCACCTGGCTCCTGGCTTCAGATCGGCGCAGCGCAATTTGGGGGGGTGAACCAATGGAAAAGGAAGCCCTTTCTGTCTGTCTGTCTGTCTCTCTCTCTCTCACTGTCTAACTCTGCCTGTCAAAAAAAAAAAAAAAAAAAAAAGAAAAGAAAAGAAAAGAAAAAGAAATTCAAGGAGCCTTCAGTAAGTTCACAGAAAATGTGGGTCATGAAGGCTCTTTTCCACAAAAACAAACTCACTTTGACTTCCATTTCTGCTGTCTTCCCCAAGTGCCCCGGAACCTGCTTGCATTGTAACGATCGTTCTGTGCAGGCTGAGGTGCTGTGGAGGAGGAACACAGCCATGTGTGCTCGCTGAGTGACAGAGTGAAAAAGGTGCTCTAGTTTTTATGCATGCTATGAAGCACCTGCCGTCAGCTTAGACTTACGGTGAAAACACCCGTCACTCTTCCAGGCCTGGTACACCCAGCCCCTCGGCTTCTCTTAGGAGATGTTTTCAAGTGGAGGTACCACAGGAGCACCGTGTGGGGTTTCACTTGCTTTGTGGGCGTAGCCACCTGGCCCACCTGTCACCCTGGAGACCAGCCTCGGGCTCCCTGTGCAGGAGCAGCACGGGTCTCTCGCGTCCCCACTTGCTGTCTTCTCCTGGGGCAGTCGGAAGCAGGCTTCTGCAGTTCTTCTCCTTATGTGCCCTGCTCTCTTCGGCAAGGGCTGCTGAATACCCGAGTTTCCTGTGTTGGGGGGGGGGCGCCTTCCTGACGGCCACACTTGGCACTTCCGGCCACCAGAGCCACAGAAGCCTTGGTCCCCTCGGTCCGTGGGAATGAAACCTTTGACCCAGCTCTGCCCCTACCAAGACAACAGCACCTGCACTTGAAGGAGCGAGCGTTCAGCCTCAGGGTGCGGCGGGGAGCGTGAGTGAGGAGCCGTGGCTGCCTCTCCAGCACACAGAGGACACCCAGTGTGGGGCCGAGGCTGGGGGCACAGGGCACCCAGGTCTGCTTCGTCATTGCCAGGTGTTCTGCGCTGTCCGGGGAGAGCATGAACCACGCACACGTGTGTCTTGTTGAAACCCGACTCCGCGCCTGCAGACCACCCCCCCTGGAAAGCATCAAAGCTGTCACCAGACTCCGGCCGCTGACCGGCTGTTCCTGGGCTGAAATCCTCAGTTTCACTGAATACATTTTAACTTTGATTTTCCAGCCAGACCCTGGTTCCCGTGGGTAAGAGGGGGGCACGAGAGCTTAGAGGAAGAAGGGTCAGAAGCGGGTTCTCATGCACAGCCTCAGCCCTCCTTCCGCCTCTGCCTCTTAGCCAGAGGCTGCTCCCGACAGCAACCAAGCAGATCGGAGTCAGATGCAGGGAGGAGCGCCCCCTGCTGGAGATGGCCGTGTCACAGCCCCCTGGGGCCACAGGAACTCTTTGGGAAGACCTGGTCACCCAGTGGAAAACAGGGGCCTCCCCAGACCTGAGACTGCCCAGGGTTAGGGGTCCCTGGCAAGCACCCTGGTCGCTGCGCTCCAGCCCTGTTTAGCCCCTGCCCTGCCCAGCAGAGTCCACACCTGCAGCCTGACGCCCGTGGGCAGCTGCTCCAACCGCCCACTGTGTAGCTCACGTGGAGGGAAGCCACGTTCCACGGCTTTCCTGCTCCAAAAGCAGCCACAGCTGCAGAAGGCAGCGTCTCCTGGGGCAGGTGGAGGGGCGGGAATCTCCGACCACCACTCGCTCCTCACTTGGTCTCCCGTGCAATCACAAATGTGCGGGGAAGGCGCACGTTCTGTACAAAGAACGTTCTTCCAGAGCCACGGAGAGCAGCGGCCACCTGGTGGCTCAGCGCCCCGCGCGCTTTATTCCTGGATGGCCGACAGGGGGACATGAACACGGGCGCATCCCCGCCAGGGTTCACGCGTTGTCCCAGCGACGTCATTCCCGGCGAAAGAACCCCGCTCATCGGCCCACGTGGCCCTTGCGGTCCCTCCTCCAGGCTCCTGCGCGCGGATCAGTAGATGCAGCCGACTTTGGAAGAGTCGGCCAGTGATCCTGTGTTCGGCGGTTCCCCCGTCTCAGGCAGAAGCATCAACGAGACAGAGCCGTGTCCTCCTCCCCTCGAGCCATCTTCACTGTGCAGGCGGACTCCGCAGGGCCCCTCCACCACTCCCCACCCCTACCCAGCCCCCGGAGTCCCTCCTCTCCCTGCTCTGGCCATGGCCCCTGGCACCAGGCCACCCCAGTGTGAACACCCTTCTCCCCGCACTGGGGCTCTGACACCGACCCTGCACAACCCCCTCTTTCTGTCTGCCTAATGGCTGTCAGAGTGAACTGCTCAGGAAGGGGAGGAGGGAGCGGCAGTGGGGCAATGGTATAACCAGCGCACTGTCCCGTCATTTCTGTGCCCACCCACTAGGTGGTGCCACCCTCAGCCCCATTTCACAAACAAAGCCCAAACACCCCAAGACTGAGTCATTCCCCGGGGTGGGGGCACAGCCAGCAGATGGCAGCAGCGGGATTTGAACCTGCTCTCCAAAGTGCCCTTAACCGACCTGGGTCAGGGCAGACATTTCT